CCAGTTCCAAGGCTAGAGGTGAAACACAGTGAGATTATCAGCAGGAAGGACAGACAGGAGGAATGGGGGAGAGGAAGAGATTAAGGGCAGTGGTAGAGGGCTTGCTGTGGAGACATGGCTAAGGTTCCCGCTGGGGTTATCCTCAGGTCTGCAAGGGGCAGGCCATCTCCCAGGAAGGCAGAAGAATGGCCTTATATTAGTAAAAGTGCTTTTTTAATAGCTGTCATTTATTGAGGGCTAACTATGTCACCTAAGTACTTCATATATATGATCTCACACAATGAACCCTGGCTGGTGTGTCTCAATGGATTGAGCACCAGCTTGCAAACCAAAGGCTCAGTGGTTCAATTCCCAGTCAGGGAACATGCCTGGGTTGCAGGCCAGGTCCCCAGTAGGGGGCATGTGAGAGCCAACTGATCAATGTTTCCCTCTTTTCCCTCTCTCTAAAAATAAACAGACAAAATCTTCAATCTTCACGATGATGCTATGAAGCACATACTGTGGTTAGTATTCCCATCTTACCGATAAGAAAGACAAAGCATGGAGAAAATAAGCGAGAAAGATCACCAGCCAGTAAGTCTTCAAGTCAAGATTCAAACGCAGGCAGTTTGGCCCCAGAACCTTAACTCTTAGCCACTGTGGTATTGTTTCCATTCACTATGCAGTTTCTCCCAGGGCAGAGAAAAGTTAAGGATCCTTGAGGCCTCAGAAGTTGGGGTGAGATGGGATAGATTTGAAATAGATTACCTGGAGTTTGGTGTGTCTCATCAAACTTGAGAACCCTTTGGAGTTAAAGGCCGGGGTGGATCCTGCAGGTGCCCCAGGTGGCCTTCCAGCTCTCCCAGGAGCTCTGGAGAGAACTTATCGTTGCTAAGGAACCTGGCTGGGCAGTTAGGACAGTTCTCCTAGGCCTGCATGTGAACTTGGCAGGCCCTCTGGAAGCCACTCCAAGAAGTGGCACCTCTGAGAGCTAGCAGGAGTCAAGGACCATCCACCCGTACTCAGGCTGTGGTGAAGCCCGCGCCCCCCACCCCCACTCCACCAACGGCCCAGAGCTGGGAGTAGGCCTCCCCGTCTCACCTTCACTGTTCTCCAGGATATTGGGGGCAAAGCCACCCTCGTCTCCCACGTTGGTGGCATCCTTGCCATACTTGTCCTTGATCACCCCCTTGAGTGTGTGGTAGACCTCCGCCCCCAGTCGCATGGCATCACGAAAGCTCTCCGCGCCCACGGGGAGGATCATGAACTCCTGCATGGCCAGCTTGTTGCCAGCATGAGAGCCGCCGTTGATCACATTGAAGGCCTGGCAGCCGCAGGACAGAAAAACCATTGAGCACGTCCCTTTCCGCCCCTGGGAGTGTTCGCCCCAGATCCCAAACTTCCCCCAGCTCCCCAGACTCTGAGCCTCATGTCCCGTCCTTTCTCTTTAGTCGCCCCAATTCCCTCGCCTTCCGCTGGTCTTCATGAGGTTCCATGCGCCCCTGCCCCCACCCTGGGAGAGGCACAGACCCGGTGCTCACCGGCACAGGCAGGATGAGGTCTGAGTTCCCGGCCAGCTGAGCAATGTGGCGATATAGGGGCAATTCCCGCTCAGCTGCCCCTGCCTTACACACGGCCAGGGACACGCCCAGGATGGCATTGGCGCCAAACTTGGCTGGGAGATTATAGAGAAAAGCACTGAGCAAAAATGTCCCCTTCCCCATCTAGCCCTTGCCTCCACCTACACTCTGCAAAGGAGCCAGGAAAGGAGACCCCCTCCTCCCTCCTCTCCTGCAACATCTTATCCATTTTCCCCTGAAATAGCAGGTCAGTTGGGGGGGAGGTGACAGAAAAGGGCAGAGAGCTGCACATATTTCTAAAGATCCCAAGACCAGTCTGTCTCATGCCAACCCCCTTCTCTTCAGGCTGCAAAGTTCTTTCTCTGTCAGATGTCCCTCCCCCATCACCACTGCCGTTAAACTCATCTGCTGCTCTGATTCTGGGGGCAGATGGAAGAAGTCCTTCCTCAGGAAGCCCCCACGGTGCTGGCCCCTTTGGCTCTCTGGCTGCTCCACACATCCCCACCCTCGGCCTCTCCACTTTTTCCCTGGCCCCTGCTTACATTTGTTCTCAGTCCCGTCCAACTGCAACATCAGATTGTCCAGCTTCTCCTGCTCCACCACCGAGAGACCCTGCAGGCAGAGCCACCATCATGCATGGCCAGAATGGAGCTGGGCCCCCAGACACAGGGCCCCCCTTCCCACAGGCTCACATCCGGCCAGTGTCCAACCAGGTTCCTGTGAAGTGGCCTGTCAGGACCTGGGGACCTGAGCCCCCACCTGAGCAGAGAACAGCAAGGGGTCATCTTCCCACCCCTCCCTTGGTAACCATGACTCCCAAGGGGTGGGCCTTTCTCCCCCTCTCCCTCCTCCCCTGACCCAGGATGCCTTCCAGAGCCCTGGTCCTGCCTCCCCCAGCAAAGAGTGAGCCTCACTGAGCTGATGAGGGCTGGCGCAATGATGGTGTTGATGTGGTCCACTGCCTTCAGGACACCTGGGGAGAGGCGAGGAGGCCAGGCCGGGTCAGGCCAGGAGGGGCCAGAAGAGAACAGGTGGGGAAGGAACGCAAGCAGAGGCTTGGGGACTGAGTGAGGTAGGAGTATAAAGAGGAGGGGTGAGAGAGCTTGGGAAAGAGAAGGTCTCACCTTTGCCTAAGTAACGCTGTTTGTCCCCATCCCTGAGCTCCAGGGCCTCATAGATCCCAGTGGAGGCCCCGCTGGGCACTGCAGCCCTGAAAAGGCCTGGGAGAGGAACATGAGTGAGGAGGAAGAGGGACCAGGGGTCCCATTAGCACTTCAGGTCTGAACTCCTGCCTGTCACATCCAGCCCTCTCCCCAGACAGCTCCTAATACACGGACACACACAAAGACACACACACAGCTCCCTGATACACACACTGCACGCTGCTCCTAATATAATACACACATGCACAGTGCTCCCTGACACACACGCAGCTCCCTAATACACAACTATATTCATGCATACACTGCTCCCTAATGCACACAAGCGCACACAAAGGCTGATGCACAAGTAAGGCCTCCTCTTCCACCCCACTGAGGCACTGAAGTCCTGTGTTCACACGCACATATGGGCGCGTTCACAAACAGGCAGTTCACAAACCTTCTCCTCTCTGGGAGGCAGGGCATGCATCACACACTAGAACTAGAACACGGAGGCCTGCCTATCCTAGCTCCCCCGGACAACGGGACCCAACCCCCTCAGTCCAGACTGAGAGCTTGGCCCAGCGCCCCACCCCTGCCGGGGATCAAGGAAACTTCCCATCCCAGGCCTGGGCAAACCCAGCGCTGGCCGGTGCGGGCGCGGTGGTGGTTGAGGGGCTGCGTTCTGGTCCAGGCCCTGCTCAGTACCTTTGGCCGTATGGAGATCCACCTCCACGGTGGGGTTTCCACGGGAGTCCAGGATCTCCCGGGCCCAGATCTTCTCTATCGACATGATGGCTGGGATCTCCTTGGGTGGAAGGGAGGTGAGGAGAAAGGTAAGAGGCTTAGAGGGGCGGAGCCTGAGATCAGTGGGAGGGGCCAGAGGCTGGGATGGATTGGAAAGAGGTTACTGCAGTGGGTGGGGGGTGGGGAGGAGCAGGCTGCTGCCGTGGGGGCTGTAGAAGGGATTCCCCCCACCCCTGCCTCGGGGAGAGGAGAAGGTCACTGCAGTGAGGAAGGGGAGGTCACTGCAGTGGGAGGCGGGTGACACCCAGCGTCGAGGTGGGAGGACACCGCAGTGAGGAGTCGAGGGGCCCGGCAGGGGTTCCCTCATCCCCTCAGCCGCTTCGGCAACCAGCTGGTGGGGCTCCCCCCATCTCCCCCGAGCGGAATGGCTGCCAGGCGTGCCTTTCTCGCGGAGGCCAAGAAGAGGATGGGTAGTCTGAACAGCCCAAGCCTTTCTTGCAGAGCCCCCCGCCTCCATCCCACCCAAGTCAACAAGCAGTCCCCACGCCCAGGCCCTGTGTGCACAGACGCGCAGCAGAGAAGTCAGGCGAGGGTCCTGGGAGAGGCTCCCGGTCCCGGGTGTCGCCGGGGGAAGGGAGGGGGAGGCGGCAGGGTAGGGCCGGTCCTCCAGCTGCCGCAAGACAAATTCTCCGCTCGCCGCCGCGAGCGGGGCGACGTGGGGCGCACGTCTCCCGGTGGGGAGAGAGGTAGAAGCCCGGGGATGCTGCGGGAGGGTGAGAGCAGCCATCTCCCCAGATGCAAATCCAAGAGGACGTGCCGGGATAAAAAACGCACGCCCGGGGGAGACCCCGAACTTCGTGTCTACAGAACCCGAGGCGGAGCGGAGCGTGGGGAGGGGGGAGGCCAGGGTGCAGGGCTGGCGCCCAAATGAGAAGGGCGAGACAGCCAGAAACCCGGAGGAGCGGTCGGGGCAGGCGGGGAAGGAGGGCTCGGGGGAGGCGCGGGTGACAGCAGGTGCGCAACGCCCAGGGGAGAGATGCGCGCGGGCCCAAGTAGCGGGGCGGGGGCGGGGCGGCGGGCGGAGGAGCCCGAGGGGTGCCGGGGCCCAGTCGGGGCTTCACCTCGGGGCTGCAGGCTCAGACGGCGGCGGCGGCAGTGGCAGCGGCGGCGCAGAGCGAGCGGGAGTGGCGGCGGCGACTGCGGCTCCGGGGCGGGCGGCGGGCGGGGGAGGCGCCTATAGGGCCGGGCGGGCGCATGTGACCCGGAGCCCCCGATGAGTCAGGAACGCGGACGGAGGCGCGCGTAGGAGCGCGGGTGGGGGGCCGATAGGGGTGTGGTGGGGGAGGGCTGGGGGCGACCAAGAGCCCGCCTCTCCCGGCGCCCACGTCTCGACCACCCGGGAAGTAGCAGGCACAGGCTCAACGAGGAATCTTCGTCCTGAGGCCGCTACAGCCAGGGAAGCCCGTGACAGATTCCCCATCTCACAAACCCGGTCAGACGCAAGAGTGTCAAAATGTCTCTTTATTGGAAAAAAGAGCTGTTCTTGACTCCCCAGCCCGCCTCTGCAGCCCCTCTGCAGCCAACTGGACCCGCATCCCCTGGGCCGGTCCAGGCTGGGCTCCTACCAGAGCTGCCTGGAGGCCGGCGTCCTCCAGGCTCTCGGCAGAGCGCAGGCCCTCCGACCCCGCTGCCCAGGTGCGCAGAGAGTCTGGGCTGCAGGCGGTGATGGGTCCCCAGGTCTGGGGCAGGAGAAGGCTTGTTCTGTCTCTGCGTGAGGGTGTGCGTGTGGCGGCCCCTGCTAACGGAGTCTTCTCGGGTCTTGGGGCCAGTGTCTCTGATGCCCTGGAGGAAGAGGACAGAAATAAACCCTCTGGGCCCAACTGCGTTCTCTGCCCACATTTCAAGTGCCCAGCGGCTGCACTTTACTGGGTGCATCTTCTCAGGCTCTTTCTGCCTCACCCTGCTCTCCTTTCTTCCCCCAAATGTGTCCTGTTATTTTTAGCTTCAGACTTTTAGTGCAGAAACTTTCTCTTCTGCCTTCTCTACCGGGCTCAGCTGCATTCCTCAGACGCCAACGACCACCTCCCTCCCTCCCCCCACCACTGTCTTGCCCCAGACCTGGCCATGCCAGCTGGTCTTCACTCTCTAGGTCAGGTGTGGCTGTGCACCTACACCAGCACCTCTGCCTGCCTCCCCAGTTCTTTTCGCTCATTCTGCTGGCTTCCTGATGTATCTCCTAAGCCTTTTCTCAGCTCCAGGATCCTAGGTCCTGCTGGCGCTTCCTCTTCACTCTGAGACACCCCTTGACTCCTAACCCTGATCGCCCCAAGGGTTTTCCTTGCCTTCCCCTTTTAACCCACCTCCTCCTATAGCAACTCCTTTCTCCCCCTATGTGCCAGGCCCTTGGCCTCCTCTTCCTGCCTCCATGCCGGCTTCCTTACTATCCTTGAAGGCCAGAAGAACTGCTTCTACATGGTTTCCTCATATTGGTCAGGCTCAGCCTCTTGCTCCTGCTCCTGCTCCTGCTCCTGCTCCTCCTTCATCCTCTGACGAATCTCATTGGCTTCAGCCCGATCCTCCTCCTCGAAGAACTCCTTGTCCAGACGTTCCAGCTGAGGCATCTGCACCAGGGCCTCCTGGCGGTAGTCGTTCTCATCTGTACATGGGTTGTCCAGCAGCACCAGGGCTCGAAGCTTGGGCAGGTCCCGAAGCTTGGCAAACTCCCGCAGGTTGCTTATTAGATTGCCCCTGCCAATGGTCAGGAGGGGCTCACTGGGTTTGGGGGGCCAGCCACCAGGAATGGGGTCTCTAGAGGAGTCTTCCATGGGCTGCACTTTCCCTGGAAACTCTCTGTATGGACTGGCCTGCCTTAGCATTGACAGACTTGCTGCAGAGATGCTGTCCAGCCCCAATCCTGTCCTGTTTCTACCCTTCAAGAAATCCCAAAGTACCACATTCTATTCTATAATATGTCATATTTATCTTTTGAAGCAGCAAAGCTAGGTCACAGCCCTGTCTTGCAAATGGGGAGCAGGGGGGAAATCTCCTTTGCAGGGACAGACTTCTGTATCAATGACAACCGATCAGAGGTTGGAAGACAGGACTTGGGCCAGTGGAGAAGGAACTGAGACTAAAGCTCAAGGTGGTGGATGCTATGTTGGTCCTCCCCACCGAACAGAACCTAGAGATAGGGATGGGCTGGGACCTCCCAGCCTAAAGAACAAACTTCATCTCTTAATATGACTCATTATACGGTATTTTGTGTTTATTTTTGTGTTCTCGCTTCAAGCCTTTCTGAAATCAGGTTTCAGTGTTTCACCTTATCTCAGTGGAGGTGCCGAACCTCACGCCACGTTTCTCACTGGGAGCACTGTGTGCACATTGTGCTGGGCTGCCCTGTGCATCGCTGGAGGGTTAGCAGCTTTGGCCCCAGAGTCACCTCCTAGTCACTGAGACAACACATCTCCCTGGCACTTACTTCCAAACCTCCCCAGTGAACCGTGGCTGAGGACGGTCCACTATCCCTATTTAGACTATTAACAGGAACACAGAAGTCCCCACAACCAACCAGACCAATGTGGCAGAGCTAATTAGCAAGAGATTGCTCTATAAATTAAGGTTGGAGTTGGGGTTCAAGGTGATACCACCTCTCCCTACTTGGAGATTCTGTTTCCATTGCCAGCCTTGACTGAGGAGGCCCTGTTACTGGGGGGGGGGGGCAGTTTCCTTACATCTTTGCTTAATGAACACACATAAAATCCTCCCTCAGACAAGAGGGGCTGAAAGAAAATGCCCCTGACCCCTAGTATCTTTCAATGTAGAAATTTCCTTTCAAAGATTTTTCTCAGCTCACATCTGAGCACATCTTGTGTGTGTTTTTTGTTTTGTTTTTTGTTTTTATCAGTAAGGAGGGCTTTCAGGTGGGACTCAGGATCAGAGAGGCAGAAAATGGGAAGGGGAGTTGGAATTAAGAACATGGAGAAGCAGAGTAGAAACTTATGTGGGTTAGCACCAGAAAAACAGAACTGGAGCCGGTCTGAGTCCCTCCAGCACAGGGACCATCTGGGTTCCAGTAGGTATTCCTGAAATGCAGCACAAGGCCTGATACAGAGCATGTTATCCATAACTGTGGAGTGAATGTATAAGGATTCGGGGGTCTCAGACTCTAAAGGTCTTAATGTAGCAATTAGGGCTGAATGCAGAAGAAAGTAAGGAAAGGAGGGATGAGGATCAGGAGGGAGGATGAGACGAGAATCTTGGAGTGGGCTAGGACTGGGGGACTGAGGTGAGGGAAGAACACAGGGTCAAAAGCTGCTCCCAGTCAGGTGTAGGAGCAAGGTGGGGCCTGGAGGGGGTGCATACCTCAGGTTGAGGTACTGCAATGATTTCATTTCCTTGGAGAAGCCACTCAAAGTTTCAATCTGGTTGTCTCGAAGGTGCAAGCTAGTGAGATTACTCAGGTACTCCAAGCCTTCCACCTTCTTCAACATGTTCTGCGCCTAGACTCCAGGATACAGTAGATATATTGGAAGAGGGGAGAAGGATAAGGAAGGAAGAGAAGTCAGAAAGCGATGCAGCCCTGCTGGTGTGGCTCAATGGATTGAGCGCTGGACTACAAAGCGAAGGGCTGCCTGTTCGATTCCCAGTCAGGGCACATGCCTGGGTTGCAGTCCAGGTCCCCAGTAGGGGGGGCATGGAAGAGGCAGCCACACACTGACGGTTCTCACTCTCTCTTCCTGTCTCCCTCCCCCTCTCTCTAAAAATAAATAAATAAAATCTTTTTTTAATATTTTATTTATTTATCTTTAGAGGGGAAGGGAAGGAGAGAGGGAGAGAAACATCAATGTATGGTTGCCTTTTGTGCGTCCCCTGCTGGGAACTGGCCTGCAGGGAATCAGCCTGCAACCCGGGCATGTGCCCTGACTGGGAATCAAACCGCGATCCTTTGATTCGCAGGCCCGTGCTCAATCCACTGAGCTACACCAGCCAGGGCCAAATAAAATCTTTTAAAAGAAGAAAAAGAGATACAGCAAATGAGGAAATGTAAGAGGTAGATAGGAAGGGGTACAGAAGGGGAGTGGAAGGGGCTAGAGATTGGTGATGCAAATAAAGGAATCCAAGAAAAGCCTGGCTGGTGTGGCTCAGTGGATTCAGTGCTTGCTTGCGAACCAAAGGCTCTGTGGTTCAGTTCCCAGTCAGGGCACATGCTTGGGTTTCGGGCCAGGTTCCTGGTAGAGGTCACATCAGAGGCAACCACACATTGATGTTTCTCTCCCTCTCTTTCTCCCTCCCTTCTCCTCTCTCTAAAAATAAATAAATAAAATATTTTAAAAAAGAAATCCAAAAGAAGCTGCCAGTCCAGAGAAAGGTCAGCAGTGACCCCCTGCTGACTGCTTATCTCACCAGAGCCGCCTCTGATTAAGGAGGCCCTGCTTCAACCCACCTGAGGTCTAAGAGCCCCGCTGCTCTGCTGAGCAGAAGTGACTTCAACACCAGGCTGGAATGAGGAAGCTCAAGAGTCTAAATGACTAAACGTTTAAGTGGCCTCCTTAACCTGATGCCTGTACCCCAGTTATGGCACATTATGCAAAGCAGACTATTTCTGCGTTACCCCGTATTATGTATTCTCAGCCCTGCTATCTGGTTAGCCGCTTGTCTGCTCTAACTTTGCATCTCCACAGCATCTGGCATCAAGTAAGGGCTCAATAAATGATACCAATTATCATTATGATGATGAAGTTGGTAGCTGAGCCCACTAGAAGCCAGGCATCCTGGCCCCCAGGATGGTGCCCTGTTCCCTGCACCAACCACCCTCGACCCAGCGAGCTACCAGGAAGAGGTTCTTCAGCTTGGGAAGGTTGAGCCCCATTGTGCTTTCCAGTTGGTTCCCTCGAAGTTCCAGTGTGTGTAGGCTGATCAGTTTTTGGGGGTCCAGACCTGTCACCATTCGGATGTGATTCCCTGAGGAGCAGGAGGGTGTCAAGAGCTTAAAGGGCCACTCCAAAATGTTCAGCAGCAGAGCGTGAGTTTTGGGAGACTACATCCTTCTCTCCCTCTAATGCCAGGTGGATATGAAGAGAGACAGGTCCAAGTTTAACACCTTCCTCAAAGTCTTTGCTCAATTATCAGCTTTTCAATGATGCTTGTCCTAAACAACCCATTTGAAACTGACACCTGTGCCCACCCACTCATTTCTTTTACCCTGATCTATTTTCTCCGTGGCACATATCTCCTTTTGACTCAGTGTATAAATGCACTTACTGTGTTTATTGTGTTAATTGTCTGTCTCCCCCGTCTAGATTGTACGCATGACAGTAGGGACTACTTATTTTTTCACTGTTTTCTCTCCAGTACATAGAACTGCCATAATGAATCATAATGTGTCTGAATGAATAAATGAATGAATGCAAATTGCTCTGTGGCATGGCTGAGGACCACATTGCCCACCTCTGTTGGCCCCAGGCTAGGAAGGAAAGAATCTGTGTAGCCCATCCTAAGGACCTACCTTTGAGATTCAGGATGCCCAGAAGAGGATGAGAGATGCCCTCAGTGTCAGCGATCTGATTATAGGCAAAACTGGCAATCTGCAGGTAGGGCAGTTCATTCAGCTGGGCAGTCCGGAGCCGGTTGCCATCAGCCTTGAGCCAGAGCAGGTGGGTGAGGTGATTGAGTGGAGACAAGTCTGTCAGATGGTTCTCAGAAACATCCACATAACGCAGATGGATGTAGTAACGCAGCAAGGAGATGTCTGTCAAATCTCTAGGAGGCGGCAGAGGCCGTGGTTAAGGTAAGAACCCAGCAAGGGTTGGCAGAGGTGCTAAAGCAGAGGGCAACGTGGAGATGGCTTATAATGGGGAGAGGAATGAGCGACAAATGGGAGAGGTGAGGGAGAAGAGAAGGTAGGCGGGTTCTTAAGAGCAGGAAAAAATCTTGCATCTGTGAAGGGCTGAGACCTTACACTCTGAAGGACAAGTGAGGAAGTCCAGTAGGAGTCCCACATCCCTTCTCCCAGTCTCCAATCCCCAGGGCATCCCTGACACAGGGAGGGTAACAGCTCCTAAAAAATAAATTCTCTCCTTCCCTCCCACTGGGCCAGGATGAGAGCGATCCAAACTCTCAGCCAAAACACCCAGGAAGGAGGATGAGAAGGAAGACTGGGCTCTACAGCCTCAGCCCTCTTCTGCACCACTCCCCCAAACGCACCTGTCTTTAACCTCCAGCTTGACATAAGCATGGGCCAGTCCATTGCCAGTCTTACAGAGCAAAGAAAGCCCTTCCTTCATCATGTCCTCTGTCAGGGGGTTGAGAACCCACTGCCGGAGGAAGTAGAGTCAGGCACCCCTTCCAGCCCAACCCTATCCTTAGCCCCAGGACCCCCTCACTTCCTTGCTCTCACTTCCTCAGAGCCGGCTTCCTCCTCTTTCCTGTCATCCTCCCACTCCTCTGTCTCCTTCTCATCTTCTTCCCTTTCCAGATCATCCTGGTCTGGCTCGAAATCTTCCAGATCCTCTTCATCTGACATCTCTCTTCCCTGCTGAAGGCTCTGGAGTCTGATCAAGCCAGGTCCTGGTCCAGAGAAAGAAGTTCTCCTCACCGTCTGCCCACCCTCAGCTCCCTCACCTCCATTGAAGGGGACGGGAGTATTACCCATCACCTCTCATCTCTTTCCCAACTAGACTTCTTTCCTCATCCCTATGAACATCTCATTTTGATTCCCAGCCTCCATATTTCCCACCACGGACCCCTCTCTTTTCAGGATGCCTTTCCAGACCCAACTCTCCTTCAGCAGCTCCCTGCGTCCCGGACTCGGCCTCCCCAGTGCTTCCCACCTCTCTTACCGACCCCTCCCCTTGCCTTTCATTTCTAATCCCTGCCCCCCGCATTTGGTCTAACTCTGCCATCCTGCTTAGCCCCATTTGCCTGTCCCTTCTCGGACGGGGACACCAGCCCGACGCAGTCTTCAATCCTCCCACCCAATCCTCCTTCGCAGAAGGGCGCAGACTCTGGTTCTGTCCAAGTACAAGCAATTCAGGAGAGGGTCTTGGCCCTGAGAGTGCAGGGTTGTTTTGGAAGCGGAGGAAGATTGCAGGAGGCGTTATGGCAACGGGGGGGGGGGGGGGGGGGGGCGGGGGCACTGGACGTGCGCGGTGGACGAGGGTTGCGAGAACTAACTGAACTGCATCAGCAGTTGACAGATTGCAAATTCATTCTCTCAAACCCAGGAACCCGGGTGAGGGATTGGCCAAGAGCTTAAAACAGGGGGCGGGGCTTAGAACTATGCGGAGGGTAAGGGTAGGGGTGATGCTGTCCGTTACGATACCTGAGACCTTAAAGGGACCGGACTTCCCCATGCAAAGCGCTGTGAATTCAAAGGAAACTCATCCCCTGAAGCAAAAGGTGGGGGAAGAGAAGCAAAAATACCACGGTAAGTGGACTGATTCCCGGCTTCCCTCCTACCCAAACTCCTCCACCCCCCACCCCCCGCCCTGCACACACACACACACCAGGTCCTGTCCTTTCGTATTTTCAGATAGACCTTTGGAGTGGAAGAAGCCCAAGCTCAAAAAGCCCTGAGTTGGAGTCCTGGCAAATCTGTAGTTTACTAACAATTTACCTAAGACTCCACTTTCTCATTTGTAAAATAGGCTTAACTACACCAACTGCCAGAGATAGAGTATGAGTCTAAGCTATGCTAAAGCACTGTACAGATTGCTAAACCCACTTTGGGAGCATTTCACTCCTTCTATCCTGGACTGGTTTGATGCAGAACTTTTGGGGAGAAAATCCCACATGTGCCCACTAAAATACTCTCCACACAGCAGTTAAGCGCTGATAGAGCCAAACTCAGGCACTCCAACCTGTGACTTGTTGAAGGAGACAAAAACAGAGGTCGAGATGCAAGAAATATTTTGTGCTAGACATGGTGTGAGATGCCTTTACAAGTGATGTTTAATCTCCACACCAGTCCTGTGAGATAGACAGTATTTGAAAGAAGAGGAAACTAAGACCCAGGGTGGTTAATAATTATGACACAATTCCTGTCCAGGGAAAGGAGGAGATTACCAATCTTGTAGAATCTAATATAAACAAAACAATTAGGCAACAAGGTAAGATATCGTGTGATTAATTGTGAAATTGTGTTACAAAGTGGTCCAATGGAAGATGTGGTGGGCTGGAAATCAGGATATATTACCTCCTGCCCTGACTAGCTTGGGTAATATAGTTAACAGACAAATATGTTTTAACACACTTTTGTTAGATACTCTGTGCCAGTCGGTGCCTGCTGGGCTCCCAAGGACCGTAAAACACAGTCCCTGTTCTCTGGGACCTTACAGTCCTGTGACCATAAGGTTACAGGGTTAAGTAAACAAGTAATTCAGTACAATGTGTGGTCATGATAATGCTGCCCAACACTTACAGAGCTTTTCCTTAGTGCCAGGGGGTAGTTTTATAGTACATGGGTGTATTTAACGTCATATATTCAGCTCATTGAGTCCAGAGGAAGCACTTTGGAAAGGCCTGGAAGAGAAAGAGCTCGATGGCCGTGCAAGGAAAGCAGGTGGTTCTGCTGGAACCATAGGTGTACGTGGAGGCGGGGCCAGACCGGCAAACGGAGCTGGATCACCCCGGGAATGTGGACTTTGTCCTGAAAGCTGTGAGGAGCCACTGGAGTTGTTATTTTGTGTTTCACTGAAGGGCTGGATTCGCAATGTGTAATAAGAGTAGATACTCCAGCCTCCATGATACCGTCCTTCCCCCAATAGCTGGGGGATACTATTTATCTCGAAGATAAATAGTATCTCCTTTGATATAAAAGTAATAATTAAAATAAAATAAAATAGTAGAGAAGTGCATAAGAGGAACGTAAAAGTCCATGATCACCCTCAGCACCACTCTCATTTTTAATGAAGTTAATTTATTAATGAAGATGTTTAAAAAACACAAATGGTATCAGTCATACACACTGTTAATCAATTGAGTTATTGTCATTTAAAGATATGTTTTGTGCCCTGGTAGGTATGGCTCAGTTGACTGAGTGCTAGCCTACAAACCAAAAAGTTGCCACTTTGATTCTCAGTCAGGACGCGTGACAGTTGGGGCCCTATGAGAGGCAACTGATCAATGTTTCTCTCCCTCCCTCCCTTCCCCTCTAAAAAATAAATAAAATATGTATTTAAAAATATGTTTTGGACACCTCTCATTTTACTAAACATAGATCTACCTCTTTCTGTTTGATAGTTGTCTAGTCTTCCATTATGTGGATATGTGATCATTATTAAACTATTCCCTATTGATGGATATTAACTTTAAAAATTGTCCACATTATAAACAATGCTGCACCCAAAATCCTCATAGATATAGCCTTACTTACTCTGTACCAATACTTCTGAAGGTGTGCATAGGAATTGTCTGAGGATCAGATTAAAGCGAAGCTCTGGACCCCATGAGTGATGCCAGTGCTGCTGGTCCGCAGACTACACTGTGAGTAACATGGCTCCGTGGGATCCAGTCTTAGAAGGTGCAGTTTCCGGTTCAAGGATATGTACTTACCTTTGCCAATCATAATAGGTTGAAAAATAGGTATGTCATTATTTTAATTTGCATTTTTATTGTTAGTGAGGTTGTTTCTTTTTCTTTTCTTTTTTTAAGATTTTTATTTATTTACCTTTAGAGTGGAAGAGAAGGAGAGAGGGAGAGAAACATCAATGTAGGGTTGCCTCTCCTGCATCCCCTGCTAGGAACTGGCCTGCAACCCAGGCATGTGCCCTGACTGGGAATCAAACCTCCATCCTCTGGTTCACAGGCCCACGTTCAATCCACTGAGCTACAGCAGCCAGGGCAGGTTGTTTCTTTTTGTGTATCCATGTACTTGTATTTGTTTTATTTTACCAATTTTTTTTCATATTCTCTCTCATGTTCCTGATTGTCATTAAGTTTTAAAATTGGCCCTGGCTGGTATGGCTCAGTGGATTGAGTGCTGGACTGTGAACCAAAGAGTCACCAGTTCACTTTCCAGTCAGGACACATGCCTGGGTTGCAGGCCAGGTCCCCAGTGGGGGGCATGTGAGAGGCAATCACACATGGATGTTTCTCTCCCTCCTTTTCTCCCTCCCTTCCCCTCTCTCTAAAAATAAATAAATAAATAAAATCTTTAAAAAATAATAAATTGATTTGGAGAAGCCCTTTCTGATTTGGATATTAACTGTGGCAGAGACTGCCACTCGCCTGTCTGACATTCGTTCTTCCCTTTTCTCTCCCTAAGAAAATAGTTTTTAAAAAGCTTTATTAACATTTAACCTGCCATAAAATGCATCCCCCTAGAATGTACAATGCAATGGCTTTTAGTGTGTTCAGAGTAGTGCAACCATCACTACAATGAAATTTAGCACATTTTCATTGCCCCCAAAAGAAGCCCCCTCCAGCTTAGCCACGTGCATCCCAACCCTCCCTTCCATTCCTGCCCCTGCTCACCACCAATCCCCTTTCTGTCTTTATAAATATGCCAGTTTTGTACACTTTACATCAATGAAACCACACAACGGGTGGTCCTCTATAACTGACTTTCTTCTCTTGGCATAATTTTTCAAGGTCCGTCCATGTTGTAGTCCATATCAGTACTTCATCTCCTCTAATTGCTGAACACTATTTCATTGTATGGTTTTTAGTATTAAATTCATCTGAAATAACTTTTGTGTATAGTGTGAGATAGGGAGCTAACATTTTGCCAAAAGAAAGATGATTTTCTCAGCACCATTTGTCGATTAACCCCATTTTTCCCTTCTGATTTGAAATGCCATCTTTATCATTATATGTATTTCTGCTGTTTCTGCTTTAGTGCCACATTCTTTGCTATTGGTTTTCCTGGATATATCATGTATCCTGCTACCTCATTAGTTCTAATAATAGAGTAGATAGTCCATCTGTTAGACAGAGGTGGAGGAGTTCAATAAAACTCAAGAAACTAAGTTCTTAAAGTACACCAGGGGAGGCCCCTCAAAACCCCAGAATTTAATTATAAAGAGTTGTGTATTTATTCTTACATGTTTAAATGTCAGTCACCTTCAAAATACTATCCATTTGATGCAAGACACATATCAAAACATTTTTCCACTGCTCAAAGTGGTTTTTGAACTTACCAATTTTTTTAAATTTTTTTTGGCTGTTGTCATATATTTATTTGACAATCTAAGAGGAAAGTAGTCAAATATTGCATATTTTAACAATTCTTGCAGCACACCGGTTGAAAATTACTGGTGTACATGAATTATTAACCATGTCACATAGCCATCTGAAAGTCTCTTCCACAGTTTTTTTTTAATTTTTATGTAAATATAAGTTTATTTGTTTAAATCAGGATCCAAACAAAATCTACCCATTGCAAGATCCAAACAAAATCTACACATTGCAGTTGCTATATCATTAAGTTTCTTGTATTCTATAAGCTGTACTTCTGTCGTTTTTTCTTCTACAATGTATCTATTATCTATTTTTTGTATTTTTCTTTTTAATATATTTTATTAATTATGCCATTAGAGTTGTTCTATTCCCCCCTTCATTCCCCTGCACCCTGTACAGCCCCTCCCCCACCATTCCTCCCCTTTAGTTTATGACCACGTGTCTCAAGTTCTTTTTTTTTTTTTTTAAGATTTTATTTATTTACTTTTAGAGGGGAAAGGAAGGAGAGAGGGAGAGAAACATCAATGTATGGTTGCCTTTCATGCGTCCCCTGCTGGGGACTGGCCTGCAGGGAACCGGCCTGCAACCCTAGCATGTGCCCTGACTGGGAATCGAACCTCGATTGTCTGGTTCGCAGACCCGCGCTCAATCCACTGAGCTACACCAGCCAGGGTTCAAGTTCTTTAGATTCTATATTTCCCATACTATTCTTGCCCTTCCCCTATCTATTTTCTACCTACCATCTATGCTACTTATTTTCTGTACCTTCTCCCCCCTTCTCCTTCTCCCACTCCCCTGTTGCTAACCCTCCATGTGATCTTCATTTCTATGGTTCTGTTCCTGATCTAGCTGTACTCTTAGTTTACTTTTGTTTTAGGTGTGGTTCTTAATAA